GTTAACGACATCATATATATATATATATATATATATATATACATTTAAAAGAAAAAGATTACTTACTGAAACATCTATTTGACATGACATGCTAATTACAACTAAGACACTCCCCATTATTTAGTTTGCCATATGATGCTAAATTTAGCTGAAATAATAAATCTACAAAAGGAAAAAGCCACATGCATCAGCCTACATTAAGGTTACTCTAATCAGAACAAGACCTGTTCATCAAGGTCCCAATTGCTGCGTGTATGGAGTTAGTACGAGCAGAAACATGATGCTGTGTTAGTGAATGAGGTCCGCGCCAAACAGACTTATCATCTCCAGGGAAGAGAATCTCGCATAAACTCACGAGCGCTGCATTTTCAAAATGTGCAGATTCATACATTTTCACTTTCTGTTGCCTTTCTCGCCACTCCTGTAAATATATCAAAGCCACAAATAAATTTGTTTTGGAATCCAGATACCACTTGGATAAGAATCTAGCAAAACAATTCAACTTCAAACTAAAAACAAATTCGCGGATTCTAACAAACAGAACGATGCAATTGTATTCTTGTATTGCCATTCAAATGCAGTGAGATGAAGATGCAAGTTATTGATGGGAGCTTGAATATCCCACATATTATACACGCGCGCGCGCGCACACACACACATTTTAAGTCCTAATCAATCCAGAGAGCCCATATTTGATGTCAAAAGGGAAGTGGGTAGAGGGTAGAGAAAAATGAGGCACCTTTTGCTTCTGCTGCACCATGGCAGTTTGGGTTTGGCCTACTTCCCCTGACTTATCTGCTGTTCCAGGCAGAGGCTGCCTATTAGGCTCTTCTCTCAATCTATCACTCAACTGAGAATTGTCTCCTGTTTCAAATTTAACTTTCTTTTCCATCTTTATCTCATTCTGTTCCTCCTCCTCCTCCTCCTCCTCTTCCTCTTCTTCCTGCATGAGCTTCTCTTCCATAGAGCTATACTGCTGGTCATTCTCTGCTTTTTCCTCTTCCACATTACCTTCCACATCAGCATCTACATCCCCGTCGAGTGATTCAGCCATATTTAATGATGAATCTTCACCAGAATGACTTTCCATAATTGAAGATTCCTTCAAGAGGAAAAACAAAAAATGTTAATTCTCAACAGAAAAAAAAAACGAAAAAATAATCTTTTTACAAAACCAATAAAGAAAGTCAGAAGGAAAAAGATAAATTTTATTAGCTGAAGTGATCCTTGTTAAACTGAGAGAAGTATTCAGATTATCAACTAGAATCATGAAGACAGCACCATCAGCTATCTCTAAACTGATTAAATAGAAGAAGTTATAATGGGAAAGGTTTTGCTCCTTTAGAAGGTTTGTAAGTGTGTTTTTTACATGCTTCTTAGCAGTCTTTCTCTTTTTGGCAGTCAGAAGAGTCACAAGAGGAATTAAGCTTACATTCATGCCAGGTATGTGCATGTGCTTTTTTTTTCTGTGGAGATGCGGGGATGTGGGGGTGAGATGATACAAACAAGAAAGCAGCATAGCCCCTTCACGTGTTGCCAATTATTTGGCATAAGGAATTTAATCACAGGCTCGCCTGTAACATCATGCAATTACTATTCGACTAATTCAGTTTTGAATATGCATAAGGACTTGTTTCTTTCATTTACATAACCATATGATTAACATTGTTGCCAGTATAATTTCCCCTTCGAAGATGCATCACCTCATTTATGAACTACAGGGTTAACATTGTTGCATTTAGAACTCCAGGAACCAAATACTAGGCTAGAGCCCTCAAATATGCAAATTCTAGATTGCATATTATAAAATCATCATGCTGGCTAATCAAGTTGATAAAGAAGTTGATAATGCTTCCCATATTGACCAAATTTCTCATGCATATAGATAGAAAAAGATCAACTTCTTTAGCCGATGAGAGCTAAGAAGATCAATTTAGTCAATTCAGTAATATAGCTCACCTCTTGCTTCACCTCTTGAACTTCAGTCAAGCCTTTAGCAATTCGAGCATTCTCTTCACGCTCTCTTTTGCGGCGCTTCAAGACACATATAGCACATAAACAATCACTTTTATGGCGCCTTCTGCAAATGCAATGACAAATTTTGCAAGAAAATAAATAAGAACTCTCAACAGAGATACTCTTTTCACACTTTTATTTCAAAAATAAAAAAACTCTCAACAGAGAAAAATACCAGACAAGAGGGTGAAGGATGAATAGGGGAAGGGAGCATAAACTTCATATTCGAATGCCTACATCATCAGAGACTCCCCAGTTCTCATGATAAGGAGGAATTTCAATGCAAATAATGCCCTCACCGCTGTGGTACTATCTGCCTTATCAATATCTATCTAGAGTTTTCACTATATATATATGTATATATATATATATACACACGTATGTCTAGAGCAACACAATAGAAATCCTAAAAGGGAGAAAATAGACAGGTGAAGAACTGATGGAAACACTGAAAAATCTTCCCGACAACTGGATTACTTTAATAATAGATGGTCAAGTCTTTCAATATGATCCTAGATGAAGACCTTAGTAAAACAACTCTGAGTTAAGTAACTGCACAAACAACATTGCTCTCTAAGTAACCAGGAAGATGAATTCAGGTTAAAGAGAACAACAAAAAGAGAGCAGAGACAATGTTGTTTGTCATTAAAACCAAAATCACAAAGGAGTTATTTCTTTCTGAGCCTCTCTGATACTGGGGGGCATTGAATCCATTTGACAAGAAGATCCAAGGCTAAAACCACAGTTCATATACACAAAAGAAAAAAAAGAAGAGACAAAATACATACCCGTGACGCTTTTGAGCCTTAGCTTTTGATTGACTACTTTTGATATGTACTTTTCCCTGACTTGATTGTGCAGCATCTTCTGTTTGAGCATTATCAACACCTAACAGAAACAAAACAAGAGTAGCTTAGGCTACAACCAGAGAATGCAGCCAAAAAGCAGAAATGCATACAAATAAACTAAATGTTCATTCATGTAAAAGGTTTATTCTTAGTGATTAATATGCTGCAAAGATATCTTCATTCTTCAAATTTTGGTATTATTTCCGAAAGTCACATTGAACTTTCCATTTTTTATTTACTTTGTTCGTTACTTACTCTGGTATTTCTCTATATGTTAAATGTACTAATGCTGCATCTCTTTTCCTTCAACATTTCTTTTAATTTTTTTTTTCTCTGAAAAAGAACTTTTCTTTTAGTTTAACTTAAAATAAAAAGAAATCAACAGTTATATAATCACCAAGAAACATAAACGAAGGGCTAGAGAAAGACAAGTTCTGCTCTATATCATATTTCTCCAATTTGGAAATCCTTGATGCATCAATTTATACAAACAGCATTGTTCTTCTCCAGTAAACCTTATAACCACAATATCTTTTACCTTGAGATATCAAATAATATTCTAGAATCTACCATGCCCTTAGTTAGATAATGCAGCTTCAAATAATATTCTAGAATCTACCGTGCCCTTAATCGATGTTATGAAACAAATTATTTATGTTGCAATTAAATTCCTCCATTGTATCTTTGAAATTGTTACAAGTGGCTGAAGGAAAAAGACAGAGACAAACACAGAAAAGCTCAGCATGTTAAAGCAAATCAAAATGGATTCAACAGTAAGCATAAACTCCACTGTCATACCCCTTGCTTGTTCATTGAACAACCCAGCTGCAGCCCAATATTTCATGAAATTCTTTTTCACCCGTCTCATCAAGTCCACAATGTAATCACCTTTGTTGTTGTACTTACAACAGTTCTCCCAGATGTACTGTACGTCCTTGTAGACATGCTCTGAATTCTTATACTTGCAACCACTTTCAAGATTGCTGCATATTGTTCCAAAATCCATGGGTGTATCTATTACATCAAAATAATCCTAATCCAAGCATAGAAAAGGAAAAATCATCAAACAAAATGAATAATGAGTGACTACACGTGCGAATGACATGACTGAATTATGTACTGCTACTTTGAACTAGACATTCAGACAGCATAATGAATGCAAGTCGATTTATGTATCAGATTGTTACAGAGGCATTTATTTTTTGGGCAGTTCTCCCCATTGAGATCCCAATATGATGAATTCTCTACTCACACACAGAACAAATTGACAGCTTTAATGTGCCATGTAATATATGCCATCATGAGTAGCATGTATGTACGCCTAGCTACTTGTACTCACAGGTATTCCAAGAGCTACTGGATTCACTGGGACATTAAAAGGCTCAGCAGCATCCATTTTCATCACCTTCTTAATCACCTAATGAACAAAGAATTGCGTACAACAACAAAAGCATTAAGAATGAACCACATAAGAAAATATCAAACTTAAAAACACAAAAATTCAACAATTTGTTAGGTATATTTCTCCAAAATACCATCAAGGAAGCATCTAATTCTTCTTTGTTGAATGTAGAATTTTGATGATGTGTCTTCAGCTCTTTCTGGAGAGAACTCTCATCCTTTGGTGCCACAGCAGAAATATTCTTGTCAAGACTTGAACTGCCCAACGACCTTGATTGTTTAATTTTAATACTCCCAGCTTTCTTTGACACATTCCCCAAAACACTCACTTTTACTTCAGACAATGAATTGGCACTGTCATCTATTTTCTCTGCAACAAGACCTCGTCTCTCCAGATCCATTCGAGGGCTACTCTTGTCAGTGTCACTATGTGATGGTGCATCAGAATCCAACAATTTTGGAGTTTTAAGCTTCACTTTAACACGCCCAACTGATTTTCCAACAGCCTTATCGACTGACCCATCACGATTTATACTGGCAACATTCACTGGCTGTTCAGTCCCTGTTGAAGGTGTATCAACCTCCATACCAGACTCATATTCATTGTCATCCAACTGATTAGGATCTCCAGAATTATAGTCAGAATTTTGACTGGAAACATTGACAATTACTTCATTTGAAGCCTCATGAGTAACCACTGGAGGCACATTTGTCTTGTTGCGTTTCTTGTGACCACGCTTTCTCTTCATAATCTAGCATAAAAGACTTTTGCTTCATTCATATTCTTATATGCTACTTTCAATTAAAAAAAAAAAAGAAAAAGAAATAAAAAGGTAAATAGAGAATCAATACGTCAGCGCAATGCGAGAAAGAAAGATGACGATCGCTCCCAAAGAATCAACACCGATTTTTAAAAGTTCAATCTTTGTACAAGACAAGCCAGAACCCAATAGCAGTATTCGCCCCAGAAGACCGGAAATCCATAAAAACAAGCAAATAGAAGGACTCTTCCTTCTTGAACTAACTATCTACGCTCAAACCCTAGAACTACCCTAGCTTCGAAAAAGAACAAGAATGACATTGACCTAGAACTAGTTTAAATCCCATTAAAAAAAAAAAAAAAAGACATGGAATTTCAGAGCGTAGCCATCCGTTAATTGAGAATAACACACGATTACAGAATATGAAATAAATAAATGCAAAAAAGAAAGATTTTTTTTTTAAAAAAAAAAAAGCAAAAAAGAAAGAAAAATGCAACAAACAAGGTTGAAGAAAAGAAAATAAGCATAAACAAACAACGTTACCTTCTTTTTTCTTAAAGAATTTGAAATTTAGGAGGGAAAAAAGAGTTCAGGCCTTTTGCTGATTTTTTTTTTTTTTTTTTTTTTGTTTCTTTTTTACATGTGTCGAAGACGGCAAACGAACATATAACCGAGGATATCCATGGAGGCGACTCTTCTTGCTGCGGCGGAGATTACTTATTCGGAATTTCGAAATACAGAAAACGCTGTCGTTTCATATTGAATTTTTTACTCTCCTACGTTTTCCTCTTTTTGTTCTTGCTTTGAAGTGTACGTTGCAAATGTTATAAATTATATAATTGTTCAATAACGCATAACCATAAATTTTTAACAAATTAGTAGTAATGTGTTCGACTAATATTTGTTTATAATTCATATATATTTTTTTTATTTGGTAAGAATATAATTTATAAATTATCAATCATTTTAATACGAAAAAATAAAGTTTATCATTTGTCATTTTTAAGATGGAGAGGAAAGAATACTCCCAGCAGGTTCAGGAACTACTAAAATCAACCCATTTATTTTTTGCTGTTAAGACTAATACAAAATTTAGAAGTGGCGCATTAATAAGAAATTGAATGAGTACCAAACCTCATGCGACATAATATTTTCTAGCAAATTAAATTATAAACTATATATATATATATGTATATACATGCAGATAACAAATATAACATCCACCCAAAAAAAAAAAAAAAAAAAGGAAGACAGAACATTTTTCCCCACAAGTAGATGTATCAAATAGGGCTCTAGAAAAACTTTAATTTGGACAAAACATTAATTATTAAACCGCTGTTTATATATATATATATATATATAACAATAGCCTCGGCTTAAAACCAACACTAGAAGATGGATTAAGCAGCGTCAGTCTTCTACATCTACATGGGCATGGGTGGTAGCCTGCAAACAAAATGAGAACTATATTAAAAGCATCCAACTTCTTGTTAAACCTACTAGGCCTGATTAATTCTTATTCAATTTCCAACACTCTTTTTTAGCTACTAAAATATTTTTTGATAAATAAAACAAAAAATAACTCATATATTTCATCCAACCTCAGTAGACACATAACTCCAAGAAATTCAAGTAGGAGAGAGTAATTGCTTTAAATATAAATGATATTCTAGCAATTAATCAAATATATACAAAATAAGAATTCAATAAAAATTAAACAAAACGGAACATAAATGTAAAACTAATATATTAACACTCTTTCTCTCTCTCTCTCTCTCTCTCTCTCTCTATTGGTGGCTTGGTCTGTATCAGAGACGAAACAACAGCTTATGTCAATTATTCTAGAATCTAACAATGGTGACTTGTGTACTACCAAGTTACCGTAATTCTCACTTTTTTAACCATTAGATCCAGTTATAAATAGTTTGGACACTGAAAGGTCGGTCCTTTAACTTAAATTTGAATCTATCTCTAAGCAGAGGGATGTGCGTCACTAAACTAAACCTTCGGCAATGAGAATGCACTAGAGAAACTTTTAGTCTTATTCTCTACGGTATGATCTTACCCAAATCCAAATCCTAATCCTAATCCTAATCCTAATCCTGGAAGTTCTTTTTTTGGTACAATTCATAACTTATGGTTTGGTACTTTGTTATTTTATATGAAAACATTAATTTCTTTAGACACTCATCTTATAACTTACTGCTCTTTTTTTACTAATTTGGATTTGTTGCCTTCAACTATTTACATCTATATTTTTAAGAGCTCAGACACTCATATAGACGCTCTCTAGAAAACTAATGATATTATGGAAGAACTACCAAAATGAAGTAAACTGAATTCACCAAAATAAAAAGAAAAAAAAGAAAAAGGAACTGCAAAATTTGAATTTGAATAAAGCCAAAATATAGTTTGTCCTATGCATTATGGCAACAGTTTTATACGCATAATGGAGAGGTTAGAACCACACTGGAAAACTCCAAGGACTGTCTTGCCACTACACCCAACGGCTCTGGGCACATTACAGCGACTTGGTAGTATCTATTATCATAAATTTCTCCATCTTAAGGACTGTGAGTTCTCTAAAACTAGTCAAACAAATAGGCCATAGTACTACAGTTCATGCTATGTTATAGTCAGACATGTGTTTCATGTTAGCTTGATAAAGATAACACCACATACGCCAATTAGAGGACTCTACGAAAATAACCTTTTAACAAAAGTCTAGTTACAAAAATAATCCTCCTATTTTTTGTTTATTCAAAATGACAATTTATGCTTCCATTTTGTACATCCTGTGTTAAAAAACTCACAATTAACCACAATCCAACTATGTAGCAATATTCTAGTCATTTGACATAATTATGTGATTGAGAGGCTTCTTAACACTAGTTAACATATTACTATCTAAAGGGATGTTTTTAATAAAATAAATAAGAGACTAAATTTTGTAAATATATTTAAGTTAATATGGTACTTCTGTGAAGCACTTAAAAGTAAAAAGAAAGACAAAAAAAATCCTCACCTCCTGGGATGCGACTGCATGACTTGATGAGGAAGAGTTTAGACGTTGGTGGCGTATATCTGCAGCAGCATTGGAGTCTGGAGGAACCTGATAGGGATCCAAAAAATCAAAAATTGCAGCTTAAGGGACAAATATAAGATCTCATCCATGCACAAGTAAACAGTACCTGTTTGGTCTCTAAATTTGCAGAAGTTGCTCCAACTTTCTCTAGTAAAATCTGCATGCTCGAATTAATCTTCGCAATCTGTGCTTCCATAGATGAATACTTCTGCTCCAAGGCCTCCATTTTGTCCAACATTTTGCTTACTTCCTGATTAGTTAACTTTTTTACCTCACAGGCCACCCTCACATGGTCACAACGTTTTGGTGTTGTGCCCCAAATATCAGCAGGAGTTGGGCCCAACCCATAGGTGCGCACATGGTTACGTTTTTCTTCTCCCATAACTTCAAAAAAGGTGTCTCTCTCATCGCTGTAACTTCCCTCAGTAGTCTTTCTTTGAGTTGTGTGTTCTTGTAGTTTTGCCTTAAACCAATCAAAGTGGTTTAAATTTATAAAATTTCATCACGCTCCAGTTAAATCAATAAATATACATATATTACCAGAGTAGAGTATATAGACAAAATCAGTAACTAGGGCATACAATTGCTTCTGCCGCTGTCTCATCCACAGGCTGCCCATCCTTGCGTGTATGAGTTAATATGTATAGCTCAGCCCTAGTCGGCTCCTTTCCATCAGGCCTCTTTGCACGCTACTTTCAGATAAGCACAATAACTTAATGCCTAATAGCACATCCAAATGACCTATATATGCATTTACCTTCCAAGAGAGAAAAGGAAGTTACCTCCTCTTCACGTATCCTCGCAAAGCTCTTTGTGCCCATGGCATGTACGCCTTTTTGCTTGTAACGGTTAGCCCTATTTTTAGCACTACGAATCTACAAATGCATTTACAAAGAGTGTTTCCAGTTTTTTCCATGTAAAATAAAGTAATAAATAATTAACTTGAAATCAATCATGTTGAAGATATGTTTTAAATACTTTGATCCTTTAAAGGCACATACCTTCTCTTTCTCAGAGCTCCAGTAACATACGAGGAATGGCCATTGATCCGGAACAACCCTTGGATTGATGTCCTTCAGTCGTTCCTCATCTGTCTTATTAGGATAATAATGACATGCCTTTAATTCTGCCTTCCAATCCCTCCACTTTGTTGCAACAGATTTCATGACCCAAGCTTTGCCAATTGGCTCAATTTCAAACTTGGACTTAGAACATATAGAAAGCAAGCAATCACATGACAGTTTCTGGAGGGAGAGTGCATAGAAGCAATGGAGAAAATAAGGTCATGTAGCAACAAAAGAATAATTTCCTAATACCTGGACATGTTGCCATATATCCTCCTTGATCGTATCTGGCAGGTGCCTCCAACTAATATAATTAAGGGGTGCTATGTGACCATTGCGCGCTATGTTGCCTAGAAAACTACTTAGCTTGGATGCCTCACGGCCAACGGGCTGCCCAATCTTATTGAAGGGGACAAGGATCCGCTCACCCTCCGGCAAATCCTTCAGAAAAAGGCACCGGGTGGGGCCTCTACCCCCCTTCTTTCTCTTTTGGGGTAGTTGTTTTGAACCATGTGGCCCATGGTTATCCTCTGCTACCTGCTCAAGCTGGGATTGCAAAGGATCCAAAGGTTGTTGGTTAGGACTCTGGGCTGCAGGTTCCAAAGAACTTCTCTGTAGACTTCGGCCAAGATTCAAGGCAGGGCCTGTAACTGAAAAATGTGAACGGCCTACTTATAACTGATAAGTAAATGGGAATCTAAAATAAACACCAAGATGATATAGAATAGCCCATACAAAATGATATAAAATATCTTAACAAATTTGATCCCATGTAATTTACCTTGAATATTATATTTGAGACATTGACCCCATGTAATTTACCTTTACAAGATATCAAACTGATACATAATAAAATGCCATCAGTTAAATTTGGCAGATTGTTTTTCCTAGAAGACATATTTGTCATTTCTCACAGATGTTTCCCAGTTACTATTTTTTCTCCATGAAACCAAACACAAATACTCCTATTTTGGGGTTCTTTGGCAAAGGAGTGACGACTGCAGAGGAGAACTAAGTGCATGCTCGTTGTGATGTCAAAAATAACTGATATACGATTCAAGAAAAAAATACATGTCGAAATTAAGTGTTTAGATTATAAAAATACAAGGGATCAATTGCTTTTATCAAAAAGTCAACAGCTAATCTGATACAAATTTACAAACACAGGTTGTTTTTGTATTATTACCCATTAGAAAACTTCTATAGCTTTTTTTTTAAGAGAAAGATTTATTAGAAAGTGTACTTCAAAAAAAAATTTATCAGAAAGTGGTAACCACCATTGAAAGGTACAGAAACAAGTTCCCCAACACATAACCACCAAAACCTAAAAGAGCAGAACAGAACACAGACTAAACAAACAGAGATACTAGAGACAGATACTCATACCACAAAGAAGGCAAATGCATAGCTCATTAGATACAACATAATGAATCCAGGCCCGCTCATAGCTCAAAGCTCATATGACCAAAACAACAAGTGGGTTTCCCCCATCACGCTAGAGCCAGTGCAAAAAAAGAGAGAAAAGCCCCCTGAAACAAGCTTTGGTAACAACATTCCAAAGACAAGGTGTTCTAATTACAAAGTTGCTGCTCTGTTGACAGATCTTAAGTGGTCTCATGAAGAGCATTCCCCTAAGTACATATCTAATGGTTGGTATGCACTACCGGCTCCCAGTAAAAGAGAAAAGCCCCTCATATTGATAAACATATTAGTCAATGTATAGAAACTTATAAAATTGGTTTGCTTAAAAAAACTTATACAATTGAAAATATAAAAAAGTGTCTAAAAAATTAGACTTGGGGATTGGCTACAAGAATCCTACTTTGCAAGTAAACTAAATAACAGTGTTGCACTTGAAATAGGTACCAAAAGGTCCATTTGAGGCAGGACTGCACTCAATGTTCAACCAGTCATAAACATATGGTTGTCCCATTAATTAATATAGAAAACTCAAGAAAATACCAGACATTCATGAAAAGTAACCTGGTTGAGACATGAAATATGATAAAATATGTGGGACCTATAATCTATCATCATCTACCTAGGATCCTTGTTTGCTACTTTGTTTTAAAGTCATAGATGTTATCACTTGAGAAACACATAGTATATTCATTCAATAGATTGCAATAGTTAATTAATGGTTTCATCAAAAACATGTCTAATGTGCAGAAACCTGCATCACTAATACCTGTATTGGCCTGTGGCATCTGGGACAAGGGCTGGCCAGCACTCGCTGGAGACTCCTGTTGCAGCGGTGGCTCTTGAGCCAGTATCTGGGTGCAGTTATAATGCATGGAGTCCTTTAGGCACCAAGGCACATATTTGCCACAGTTCATGGTGCAACCTTCTTTGCAACTTATGGCTAAATCTGGAGGATATGGCAATGTGCAAATGTCTATACAATTAGTTAAAAGCATGTATAAAATCAATTAATACATAATAAAGGAGATTTCCTCATGGCGCACTTGATGGGGAGACAGGTTATGCAGGTCCCCATAATGTGACTAGCAAACAAATGAGAAAAATTATCAAAAGAAACTAAAACAAATTGAACAGAAAAAATAGCAAATTGTTATTTTTAGCATATAATATACTCAAGGATAAATGTAAGCATAATTGCAATCCAAAAATAGTCTTCATGTGGGGATGAAGATTTAAACAAGACTACCTCTCCCAGTGTGTATCTGGCACAGATGTGGTTGGCTTGTGCTCTGTTGGGGCTGCTGCAAATGAAATGTTTGTCCATCGATACGGGGTTGCTGCAGTTGAGACTGGCTTGAACCATTAACAGTTGAGACCACCTGTCTAGAACACATCCGTCTTTTCTGCAGTATGGAGACATCAATTCTAGATCGAATGTGTGCTCGTCCTAACAACCCCATAGTTAATTGAATAACAAATAAAGAGGACTGGTTAAAATCCAAGAAATGAACTTTAACTTCATAGGAAACAGATTATCAAACACTAAGTTGATAACTTAGCAAGAATTCATAAAACTAATATTAAACAGTTTTATATGCATTCAATTTGCTGCACGTGATAGTAATTTTTCATTAGAGATGAAAAAAGTAGAATATGCATAATGCAGGTTAGATATGGAACTAGGGATGGCAGTCTTGCTCTGAACCCGTATATCCAGATCGTCTGAATCCGCCCAGATGCGTGTTTCTAAATAAATTTGTGGGTTCTTGGCCAGATGGGTTCAGGTTAGCGGGAAATTATTTATGGAGTTGGCAGGTTCGGACTTGACATGCCAAAACCCGTTCATACTCAACCCAAACTAACCCAGTCAAGGAGTGAAACCAATCAGATAGCTTTCCTTGAATACTTCTAGTTTGTTTCTGTTTTTCCTGTTTTGTCTTGGTTTTATGCTACTGTTAGTTTTCTTTATGTTCACTTCTTAACACATAGTCATTTATGTAATTTTTGGAAGTCCACTTAAAGGGCAGTTATTTCCGTAACTGATGATAAGAACTTTCAACTTTGGAAATGGATAAGCAGAATTTGTTCAACAAAGTTTCTTTCTATGCTCTAAGATCTTAGGGTTCTCTCTAATGAGGCCCTATTTTCTGTCACAATGGGGAAGAAAAGAATAAAAATAAATAAAAACTCTAATCCACTCTTAGATTACCCAGTGTCTAGACCCGTAACCCAGACTACCTAGGGTCCTAATGAAGGACCTTCAGAATTGGGATTTTGGGAGGCTGTTTATTCTAGGCTGACTCCATTCCCAAGCCTTTTTGCCTCAAGGATAAGTAACTATTTGAATGAGCGAGTGATGCTATGGCCTATAATCAGTACATTTCAGGAAGGGTTAATCTTTTTCGAGGAAGTTTATTTTTCTTTTGTGTTCTACTTTTTCGTTTTAGTCTTTGCATGTTTAGGTGGTTATTAATGTCCACTAGGTAGTTTATAGCTCTCATGTGGGTGGTTCTTGCAGCAGTGGGGTGGTTTTATTTGGCTGTGACATATGTATTTATGGAGTGTGGATTGAAAACTTTAACCTGAAAATTATTTATAAATGTTTGAGTTTCTTAATAAACTCAGAGGTCATTTGGTTATCTCTAATGAGCCATTTTTATATTCAAACTAGGTTCTAAAGACGGAAAGCCTTAGAGGTACGCTTCTAACTTTCCTCTAAATTTCCCTATTCTTAAACTCATAACAAAATTCCCAAATTAGGAGCCATAACAGCATAATTTACCTTTTGTATTACCTTCTACATCAACTTGCATGCAAGAGAGCTGTGGCTGGTTGGTGCTTGGTTGTGGTTGTTGCAACTGATAAGGCTGGTTATTTGATGGTGGCAGCTGGGAGAACTGTGGCTGAACGGTACTTGCCAAAGGTTGATGTGCCTGAAATTGCTGGTCACGGTTTGCTGTAGGTAACCGATGCCGCTGGCTTGAGGCTAGCTTATCCTGGCTCGTCAGGTTGAAGTTATGGTTCGTACTGCCTACAAACAATGAGTGCAGATGTCTTAGAAAATTTTAGAAAAAGGTCATCAGTGATTCCATAGTCAACTTCAAACCAAAATCTTTACAATCCATGAGCAATTGGAAATAAAAATCAACATAAATCCCCCTTTTTTCAAATAACCAATTAACATATAACCCAACTAACATATAACCCATTTGACGTAGAAGTAATGGTTGAACAACAATTTTTCTACAATCTAGAGAAATAAAAGAATACATAGAGGAGTACTGGAATGGATAGACAGAGAAAAGTGGGGTTAAAACAAAGACTTGAGGGGAAGAAAACAGGAATGTTAGGCAGATAAGAGAACAGAGACAGAAACAGAAATAGGCAGGAATGTTAAATTATATGACTACAAAATCATCAACTCCGAGATTTTTTGAACTAATCATAGAAAACTTTACATAGGCTCTAACCTCAACTCAAAAAGGATAATAAAACCGAAGTTTCCAAAGTTCTTTTTTTCTTTTCGAGAAAGTCCATAAAATTCTAAAAATAAACTCAAAAATCTCAAAAGTCCTATTTCCACAATATGTGAATAAAATCAAACCACAGAGTTCTAAACCCAGTTTCCTTCTAATTACTTGGGGTTGGGGACCCTATGCAACCCTGCTGTAAAAAAAACCCACTCTCCTTGTCTAGGCTTAGATAGTTCTGCATATCAATTAAATATTGCATCCAAGCATTTTATTTCAAACAATAAATGTTGGACCAAAGACATCATAATCTTTTAAAAATATGAAGCAAGGGGCAAAAAAGGAAAAACTATAATAAAATTTTCTGAAAGGTATGCCGTAGAACTCAATTTCAGAATGCTGACTACATGCCTGGAAACAGTATTGGATCTTCCAGACTTGTTAATGCCAGTAGAAGTTACCCTTCGGTCTTGTTTGCTTCAATTCTCATTTCATTCCTAGCTAAATTCTACTTTTAATTTTTATTAAAATCCTTGGAATACTACAATCAAGCAATTTAATAGCTTTAAAATAGCAAATTGTAATTTACAATTATAAACACCTTCAATAGCTTTAAAATTGAGCATTTTCAGCAATTAATTTCAAGATAGATTCTGCAAGGTGAAAATCCAATTTCACTTATAACTCTTAGTAGTTTCTATTTCTTCAACTCTTCATAAGACTTCAGAGAAAACCGAATAAAATATAGTTTAAATAATTTAAACTTAGGACAGAAAGCTAAATGAACTACAGCAATAAAGTGCGAGAAATAGAAAAGGAAGGGGGCAATGGTACTGAAGGAGACAAAAAGTATAAAAAATTCAATTACTGAACTAGCTACATGCATATCAATCAGGACCAACCTCAAAGTTTTGTTGTCTACTGCTGAAAAGCCAAAACTAAGTCTAAAAAGTAAACCAGTTGGGTTTTGTCAAGTTGTTTAATGCAGCCATGCTAATAGTTTTCAATCAAGCCACCAACAGTTAGAATCTTATTAACATGAACTCAAGAGGTTCATTATTCCTTTAAACAAAAAGGTGTTACTTGTTATATAGGAAAATTTCTTTAAAAGAAAAAGTACCAGACAAATTCATTAAATTTGGGGGGTGGGGGGTGAGCTACTATGACAAATTCATTGAAAAAAAGGACCAGACAAATTCATAAAAAGTACCAGAGATTTTCCTTCGTTGTTTGCAATTCAAGCCAGCAGCTGTCCAATACTTCATGAACTTCTTCCTCACCCGCTTCATCAGATGCAAAGTATAGTCACCCTCGTTGCTATACTTGCAGCAATTATTCCAAATATATTCTACATCATTAAATACATCCTCCGAGTTCATGTACTTAGTACCATTTTGGAGATTGCTGCGTATTGTCCCAAAGTCCATCGGGATATCTACTATGTCAAAGTAATCCTGCTTGCAGTTACCCACCCCACATGAGATAGAGGGGAGATTAGTTAATCTCATAATCAATCACAAAGAAATTTCACAAGAACTGGATAGTTCTGAATGCAAGAAATATTATATTATAAATAACAACGATAATCCCCAGGTGACTTTTTTTAGAAGTCACGTAAATATATTGTGTGAATTCAAGCAGCATACTGAAAATAAGTACCTCATTATTTATATAAAAAGAATCTTCTATTTCTGCCTCAGAATAGATAATATAGAAGAATGATATTATATACATGGTGTACACAGAATTGTGCAGAAAAAACTAAAATCCAAATGTCTAGAAACATGTGTGCCAAAATTCATCAAAGATGAAAAGGATGATGAACGAGAAACTAATTGACATTATTTCCTCTTGAATTATATTTGGTTATGAATAAAAGACAAGACTGCCTGGATAGCAGAGGTTTGTCAAATAACCTGACACCAAGAAGCAGGAAAACATTCAATAGTTTATCTTAGGCTAAAACAAATATTCTACAAGACCAGAGCCAAGGCAGATAGTGTATGGCAACGAGCACAAGGTGGTGAAGTATTAACAAATTCAGAAAATGAGTATTATTGCATGAGGATGCTATGTTGGATGAGATTGCCACACAAGAGAAGACGGGACTAGAATAAAAAAAATTTGGAAAAGCAATTCATACTTACAGGGATTCCCTGAGCAATAGGATCAACTGGAGCATTAAAAGGATAAGCCTCATCCATTTTCATAACCTTCTTAATCACCTACAGGACAAGGAAATTGAAGTTCTTTAGAAAAACAGATGGACCATGTAAAGAATCATTCAGTAAGAACCAACAGTTGTTCTACTAGTAACTTCAACGTACTTTGCCATCGTCTTTTCTCTTCAAAACTTTGAAACCCAGAAAAAAAAAAAGAAAAAAGAAATACTTTTATGAGATAACCAAAAAAAGCCAAGAATTAACTTTTAAAAAGCTTACAACATACCAAAAATGCAGTTTTTAGTTCTTTCTTATTGTACTGAGGATCATGATGAGATATCTTTGACTTCTTTATCTTCGTACTCAAAGAACTCAACCCCCTCAATGATTGACCTTTTACTTGTGTACTTTTCTTTAACAATTTCTCCTTTTTGCGTTTGGCTTTACGACGCCCTCTAATTGATTTCCTCAATTTTTTATCGATCCATGAATCATCAGAACTAGAACTACCCAAAACATCGTATGACTCATCACTTTTGCTTGAAGAAGAAGAAGACAATAATGGAGATAACCCACTATCTGATTCAGACTCAGATACATCATATTCATCATCACTAATACTAACTGCCATCTTCTTTCCCTCTTTGTTTCTGTTTTTACGGTATGTTCGCTCATTGATGAAGCTTTTTCGGTAAGTGGCCTCATTGTTCAGGGTTTCTCGATAAGGTTCCATATTGTTCAGGTTTCTTAAGTAAGGGCCCTCGTTGTTTACATTTCTTGAGTAAGGATCCTTACTGTTCAAGTTTCTCTGATGAGGCTCCATGTTGTTCAGGTTTCTTTGGTAGTGGTCCATATTGTTCTGGTTTCGTTGGTAAGGCTCCATACTCTTCCTGCTTCTTTGGTGAGGCTCCATATTGCTCCAGTTTATTTGATAAGACTCGACATCACTCTGGTTTCCTTGGTAAGGCTCCATATTGTTCAGGTTTCTTTGGTAAGGGTCCATATTGTTCTGGTTTCGTTGGTGAGGCTCCGTACTCTTCCTGCTTCTTTGGTGAGGCTCCATATTTTTCCAGTTTCTTTGATGAGGCTCGACATCATTCTGGTTTCCCTGGTAAGGCTCCATATTGTTCAGGTTTCTTTTGTGAGGCTCCATGTTGTTCAGGTTTCTTTGGTAAGGGTCCATATTGTTCTGGTTTCGTTGGTGAGGTTCCATACTCTTCCTGCTTCTTTGGTGAGGTTCCATACTGTTCCAGTTTCTTTGATAAGGCTCGACATCACTCTGGTTTCCTTGGTAAGGCTCCATATTGTTCAGGTTTCTTTTGTGAGGCTCCACATTGTTCTTATTTGTTTGGTTATTCTCCATATTGTTTGGGTTTCTTTGGCGAGGTTCCATATCATTCTGGTTCTGAGAGAAAGTTTTCAGACTGTTCTGGCTTTTTTGTGAAGATTCCAAATTGTTCTGTTTTTCTTGATGAGGTTCCATATCATTCTGGTTCTGAGAGAAAGTTTTCAGACTGTTCTGGCTTTTTTGTGAAGATTCCAAGTTGTTCTGTTTTTCTTGGTGAGGTTCCATATTATTCTGGTTTTCCTGGAGAGGTTCCTCAATACCTTGGACTTCATGGAAAGCTTCTTCATTGTTCTGGTTAACAAAATCCAAGAACGCCTCCTCGTTTTGGTCCACTTCAGCAGCCTTTTTGACAAGCTTCTTCTTCCTGGGAACACGCTTCCTCTTCATTTTCCTTACCAATGAAGGTTTAATGGCAAAGAAGGCTGCTTCGAATAATCAGTATCCTTAATCCCCAGTCCTACGTCAGCAATAATACTACAGTAGAATCAGCTGCATCCTCCAACAGCAAATACAACTGCGAAATAATGTAAGAGATAAACATCTCTTTTAATCAACAGCAAAAATTTTTCAACAAGCAATATATAATCGAACCAAAACACCTCTCTTTTTTTTTTTTTCCTGGTAAATCATCATAAAGTACAGTGCCTTAAACATTTCTGTCCAACGAAAATATCAACACAACCAGATATATAATGAAAAACATAAAACATAGTGCAACTAATTTTTTGAACTTAAAAGAAATGTAAACCCTAAGAAGACAACCATGGATTAAAATTTCACTTTAAAACGAGCAATCTCGCTGCAAAGCCAACCCTAAAAAGACAACCAAAACAGAAAAAGAAAAAAAAAAAAAAACAGTGAGCTAATAGAGAGCGAAATACCTTTTGGCCTGTATTCAAGTGACTGTAAGAGTAAGAAAGGAGAGAGAATTACGCGGTTGAATTTGAGGATATTTTGAGCTTTGGAAAGAGGGAAAATGATGCAAATCGAGCTACTGAAGTGAAATCGGAAGCCTCTGGGAGTGATTCTCCATCGCCGACGAGAAAAACCTTGGCGTGACTATAAATAAAAGTTGGTGAAGAATCTGCAATTTCAGCGGCAGTTTCAGATTTAAAGGGAGTGTGCCTGTCTTTTAGCTTTACTGCCTATGCTGGCTTAATTGATTTTTTTTTTTTATTTAATTGCTAATTTTGTTAATCATAATACTCAAAATTAAATTCATTGTACCATAATTCCTTACCATATAATTACTATTCATGTTATTATTGTACATTTTTTTTTTTTCATAGTTTAATTTAATATAATATTTTTATTGCGACGACGAATTTCTCAAAACTAATAGTGACAGTTGTAAATTTAGCGAAAATAATTATATAAGTTATATTTACTGTATGTTATTTTAAAAAATAATAATAAATTTATGTATGCCTTGATAATCAAAATATGTAAATTATCAAAATTATTCTAGGTTAGTATTTGCGTATTAAATAACTAATAAATATATTTTACCAATTAAAAGGATTCCTTTATCATCCAAATTAATAAATATATATAAGATAATATCTACTTTTGACAAAAACTTAATAAGTTTTTTTTTTTTTTTTTTTTTTCCATAAACAGCAAGATTTGAATTAATGGAGATTGGATTTTCTTTAAATGTGTTTGTATTACATACAGAGTATGTAGCTTGAATCTAAAACTTTTGTTCCATTTAATTTAATACATGTTTTTAGGATTGCATTAATTTGTCATATTTAGATTCTAATAAAATATTAAAATTTTACCCAAATTTGATTTATTAAATTAATTAAGTATTAAATCAAAAATTTAAAATTTAATGCATTAAATCTGTGAGATATGCAAAGCTAATAATTGTATGAGATTTAGTTCTTATTATGCACATATCTTATAGGATTTTCTACAAGAATTTAATGATATCACATCAATACATGCTTCTAATTATATTAAGTTGAATTTTTCACATGTAGAAGTATGTGAAATATGATGCTCAAATTAAATTATATTAAATATGCGATATGCAGGCTATATACTTTTTAACATTTAAGATACAAATTATTAGAGATGACAATAGAAAGTTTTGGTGCGAATTTTGTCAAAATTGAACATGACCCGTTGCTATATAAACCCAAATATATATAATGGGTTAAATGGTTATTTTTATTTCGTAATATATATGTATATATATATATATATATGTAGCCAATCTATACATATATATATATATTTGATAAGGTTCGGACGAATTTTAAAATGTTTAATCCAAAGTCGTCTTGATCTCAATCATCATTTTTCATCAACTTATATTGCTACAACGAAAACCTAATTTTTAGATTGAAGTGAGTTGATAAATATAAATAATTGTTTAACAAAAGCATAAATCTTCACAAACCTAAATCAATACAATAACTATATGTTTGAATATTTGTTAGGTTATTTATAAAATCCAAATGCAAAATATATATATATATATATATATATATATATTTGTAAAGGCTCAAAATGTAGGTAATAAAATAATATTGAAATTTATTAATTTGCAAAAGTAGTTTGAGATTTAGAGTTATATTTCTTACACAGTTTAATTGAAATACTCAATAAAACTAGAAGAATGTCCTTAAAGAATATAAAAGAAATAAAAGTGTAATTTGAAAAGCTTATAGGATCAACCTCCGCTCCGTAACTGGAAAAACGGGAGGCAATCTTTTAACTAGTTTTCTTATTGTTCAATATTTGGGTTTTAGTCGTCCTTATTTAAAATTGTTAATAATAAAGGTGATGTGAGCATGGGCATGTACCAGAAAGAGAATGCACAATCCAAAAAAAGATGAGGAAAAAGGCCAAAAAGGAGATCTTATGACTGACCCTAAATTTTTATATGTCTCCGTATTAATTTGGCCACAATCTCTTTTAATTAAAAAGGAAGACTAAATCTATCTTACTTAGTAAATTAGTCTGTAATCTTTAATTTTTAATTTATTTCCTATGTAATTGCAAATTAAATTAAAATTTTTTATTTTCTTTGTTATTTACTTGGCTTAGCCTATAAATAGGCCACCAAGTCTTTATTGTAAGACATTTATAAATTATTTCAATAATATTAAGAATATTTCTTTTTACGAGAGGTTCTTCTACTATTTTGTGAGTAAAGACTGGATCTCCTTATCAACATACGACCTTGTAGTGTTTTTTCATTATATTTTTTTCATTTCTAGTTACCTTAATTCCCATCATTATTTATAATGGGTTAAATAAGAAGGGTTTCTATAAGATCAATTCCTTTGATGCCTTTAAATGAAATTGTGTGAATTCCTAATCATGTTGATTGATCTTGGGTTCCGCATCATTTGGTATCAGAGTTTTGGCTCCATATAAATCTATTATCTTTTACTTATGTACTTTTAAATTCTTGCACCGTTTATTTATTTGTTTATCTACTAAAAAAAAAGATCATCTCATACATCGATCCAAGTAAGACATAACGTCACTTGATGCTTTTTTGACTTGATAAAATCATTGTTGAGTACCAATTAGTTTTTTAATTTACTTTTCTTGCAATTTTGTTTCCTGTGCAAAAAAAAAAAAGAAAACGAAAGAAATGAAGAAAGGAAGAGAGAAAATAAAGGAAATAAATGAAAGAAATCTCATCGAAAAAGTACTTACATTTTTGGTATTCAACCATCCATCTTTGAAACGATGCAAGAACCACCTCTACATAAGGCAAAAGCTTTCTTTATTTTACAATTTTTTTATAATCACGTGCATTCATACTTACATAATTCATTAAAGACTATATTTTTTTTATATAGAATGTAATGTGCATCGGGAGTAGATTGGTAAGAATATTTTCGGTTTTTTTCTTGAGACAATATCGAATCCCTACATCTTCTATAAACCGTCGACTTTTTTTACTCTCAGTTTCTTTTATTGTTCTAAACTTTAGTTCTCTAATACATCTAAGCATTTAAATTGTATCTTAGATCTTAGCGTAATTGATAACACACTACCTCTTTCTTTGTGTGTTATACTCTTTCTTCTAGTATTTGTTCTATAGGACTCCTTGCGATATCTTAAAACAATACTTGAGAATATTTTGATTCAAGAGGATCTATCCAGCACTCAACTTTAGGGTAGGAGATAGGAAGGTGAAAGGCAAAAGTGTGTGAGATTATTAGAGGATAAAAGTTAAGTGAGTGAAATATGAGAAAATTGGTGAAAAAAAAAACTTTTTTTAACTAATCCTTTTATAGGAAATCTTCTTAAAATGTTAAGTGAGAATCAAAGCTCCGCTAACATAATGCTCCTTATGGAGGTTATGCATGCAGAATTGGCACCACTTAGTCAGAAGGTAGATAACTTGAGTAATGGTCGAAGTGAAACAAGACACAGGATCCTTAATACAAGGCGGCCTAGAACTCAACATCCTAAAAATGAGGCCTGGTCCTGTAATGATGAGGGGAAAGATAGGGTGTAGAGGAGAGAAAAAAAGGAGGGATAATAATATCAACTCCATCAAGATGAGAATACCACCTTTCAAGGGTAGGAATAATGCTGAAGCATACCTGGAATGGGAGATGAATGTAGAATTAGTCTTTGATTGCCATAACTACCACGAAGAAAAGAAGATCAAACTAGCAGCAGTAGAGTTCACTTACTATGCCTTAGTGTAGTGGGATCAACTACTCCTCACTAGACGATGTAATAGAGAGCGACCAATTTCCTATTGGAGAAATATGAAAGTAATCATGCGAAAAAAGTTCGTACCCTCTTACTACTATAGAGAGATACATCAAAAGTTACAACATTTAACATAAGAGTCTATGTCCGTTGAGAACTATCACAAGGAGATGGAGATGGAGATGGAGATGGCCATGATCAGGGTCAATATAGAAAAAAATCCCGAAGTAACCATGACAAGATTCCTTGGAGGTCTCAATAGAGACATCGCTAACATGGTGGAATTATAGCACTATATGGAGGTGGAAAACATGGTGTACATGACCATGAAAATCGAGAGACAGCTCAAGTATAAAAGGTAGGGCATATCATATGTCACCCCTACCTATAGCTCAGAATGGCCTAAGAAAGAAGAAAACAAGGGAACAAACGAGAAGAATAAAAAGTCCACTTTACTTGATACAAAAGGTATGATATCTAACTCATCTCAAAAGTATAGTACAATTAAATGTTTTAAGTGTCTCAGAATCGAACATATGGCTTCTCAATGCTTAAATAAGAAGATCATGCTATTGAGAGATTATGGTGGAATTGATAGTGTTAGTGATTACGAGAGTGAAGATAATGATAACATGCCACCATTATAAGATGTTGAGGAAAGTATTGAATATCCGACTCAGGGGGAAGCTTTGGTTATCTAGAGAGTTCTAAACATCCAAGTTAAGTTGGAAGAAAGTAACAGAGATAGAATATCTTCCACACTCGTTGCCTTATAAATGGGAAGGTATGTAGTCTCATTATAAATGGGGGTAGTTGCACCAACGTTGTTAGTACTATTCTAGTTGATAAACTTGGGTTGACATACACGCACCATCCTCACCCTTACAAGTTGCAGTGGTTGACTGATTGTGAAGAGATAAAAATGACTAAGCAGGTATTAATTTCATTTTTTTGGGCAATACACTGATAAAATACGTTGTGATATTGTGCCCATGCATGCTAGTCACATCATATTTAGAAAACCCTGGCAATATGATAAGCGTGCAACTTATGATGACTATAGGAATCGTTATTCCTTTAGCATGAGTAGTTGAATTTTACAGAGGCACCACTATTACTTGAGGAGGTATTCAAAGATTAGTAGTAACTCAAAAACTCTATAAAGTCTGGTGGAAATAAAAGATTGAGGAACATGAAAAAAGAATGTTACTATATGGAACAAGAGCTAAGGAGACCATCTTTTAAGAAAAAATTATTAACTCACCTTAAACCCTCTTTATTAAATAGTGTTATTTTGCAGGACATTTTCTCAAATAAAATAGGATTGGTGAAACTCCTACATAAGAAGTGTCCGATTCGAGGATGAATCGTTTTTTAAAGGGGAGAAGATGATGTGAGCATGGACATGGACTAG